AGAGCGTTAGGGCAAGAAGCAGTATGTGGACAGTGCGGTCCGTGAAAAGCCCAGATGATGGGCGATGAAGAATACTGAGGCCATCCTGAGGGTAACTATGACTTGTGTTTCGAGAGTCAAAGGGATGTAGCCTCCCCTGGGACCTAAAATTATTCAGCATCCAAGTAGGTAAGCCTAACTGGATGCTGAATAATTCTCTTCCCTCTTATCCTTGGGCATGCCTTCTTCCCTCTGCTACTTGCTACAGAAAGGGCCAACTTGGAAATTCCTAGAACAGACAGTACAGGAAGTAATGCAAATTGCACGTGAAGTGCATGTCTGCACCCCGGACATGACTTATCACCCTCACCTTCCCATTTCCTGCGCCTATGCCTGTCCTTCCCAGAGGCCCTGAGCACTGGAGCTTCTTTGGAGTCACTTGCAGCATTTCTGATGCATTTCCTAGGGGGTTATGTTGCAGCTCCCAACCTGGTGAAAGCCTTCAATCTCAGCCCATCACAACCAAAGGAGAACGTCTGTCACTGTTCAGTGGGGGAGGGGAAGAGATGGGAGGGGAGGATAGGAAGTGTCGGGGAGCTTTCCAAGCTCCTCTCCCCCTTGTAAATGAGGGGCTGGAAAGCTAAGGTCCTTTGACCACTGTGCTCGGTCCTCCCAGATCCGCTGGTCACATGGCAGGAGGGTCCTTTCTCCACAGGTTTCCAAAGATCCCATAGGCTTGATCAGGAAACCACAGTGAAAATGATGGTCTCCTTCTCAACATTTACCAGCTCTGCGAAAATGGGCACCTCCTCGTCTTTGTTTGGGGTTGAACTCCTGGGCCTGCAGCAAACTGTCCTTGGCTTGGCTGAGCAGTTTTTAAATGAGTCTCCTCTTGGCCAAGCATGTCGCATGAGCCCACTGGCCCATATATCAGGAAATTGGGTGTGAAAGGAATCAAGGTCTCATTGTGAAAACTGCTTTGTAAAGTAGAAAATTACACACACACACACACACACACATCATCATCATCATCATCATCATCATCATTTGGACAGAAATTTAACTACAGACCCACGGCTCCAGGGTTGTGTCTACGTATAGTACTTGCTGTTCATGTCCTCAAATACATCACTGTTGTCATCAGTATGTTCTGGAAGGGCTGGGGATATGTTTAATGAACCTAAATAAACGAGTCTGTTACTTTCTTCTCTAAGATTTTGCAACTGCGCGAGGCCCTAGGTGGAAGCAGCACTGTGATGTGGAAGAGGCTGTGCTGTGACTTTGTTATATGCAGGCTGGAGGCCATTCTTACCTGGAGAATGTCAGATAGGCTTTTCCTAACCCCGCTTCAGGGCAAAATCCACTGGTCCAGGGCAAGGACCGTAGAGCCCTCCGATGTTCTAATGGAGTTTGGTGAAAGGAGAGACTCCCAACAGAGAGAAAGAAGCAGTCATGGGTCTATTTTCCCCAAGTTGATGGCATTTGGATTTCCTTTTCTTTATAGGGGTCCTGATTTTTCAGTTTCATGAAGACAATGTTGTGTGTGGGGTGGAGGCCGGGGAAGGAGGATTAAAAATGGCCTTAGGCCTCTGTGTTTGGCCTCTTGTGATTCCAGAGGTACAAAGTTCCAGGCCTACAATGAAGCCCGGGCTCAGCCTAGACTCACATCTAGGCCCAGAGAAGGTGAAGAGAACGTCATCTGTGCTGAGGGGCCCATTTGACTACAGGGGACCCAGTGTTCTAAAGCCCTTTGATTCTCAAAGGTGCCCAGAGTCCTGACAGCCGTGGTCTCCAGTCAACCTTGCATGACACAGCTTGCCACACGTGACCTCGATGATCGGCTCCTGAACACCCTGCCACACACTGTGGTGTCTAGCGCTGCCGCCCAGCAGCCCGCTGGCTGGTTCTTAGCCCCAGGGCACCTCTTACGGGACTTTTATATGATTGGTTACTGCATTGTCCCACGTAACTGATTTATAGACACCTTACTTCTACACTGTGCAGGGTTCAGACATCTTTTCTCATTGACACATTGGTTCCTATGTAATTTCTGATCATTCCTATAAACAGTGTATCAGATCTTGGCTAGAATCAAGTCCCATTATATTGTTTCTATGGAATTTCTATCATGTGAACTTCTAGTGCCTCTATTTCAGGAACAAAACGTAATATTCTAAACAATTAATGGTAAATCTCCAGCTACCGCAATACAGCTTACGATAAGTGAAAAGTCAGAGCAAAGGCTTTGTTTGAGGATCGCAGGCTTTTTTCTCCTGTGTGTTCTCTATGACAGGGACGCATTTGCCAGGGCCTCCCAGGACCCAGGGGAACCTGCTATCCCACAGCCCACTGTTACAGTGCAGCCTGCTGTGCGAAATAAAGAGCCACCAACCATCAGAGGCTCCCCTGTCCTGCCAAACATAGCTCCTGGGGCCTCCTTACTTGGCTGGTGTCCCTTTACTGTCTTTGGATGCAGCCCAAGTAGAGGATGATGGCAGTTATACTCCTGCCTCTTTTGGCTTCCCTGATCCAAGGCTCTCTACACTTGCTATCCCAGTCTGTAGCCTCCTCTCCACCTCTGACACCTCCAAATTCCCATTTATCACTGAAGCAATCAAACTGGTGCAATAGCCTCTTTGGATTGCCCTTGTTGGGGGGCTATGATTTGCATGGTGTCCATGGAGGATCACAGATGGGAGGATTACCATGGCTTAGTCCTGGGAGCAGCCTGCATCCCTCCCACTCACATTTCTTTGGCTACACACTAACAAGGCCACACCTAACCAGAAAGGAGGCTGGGATGTGTGGCCACGTGTCTCCCAAGAATAAGAGGAAATAGGTTTAAGGAGTGGGCAACCAATCTCTGCCACACCTTCCTAAAGCATCTCATCTCTCCTATTTCACTTTAACAAGTCCTCTCGTAAGATAGCTTGGTTTGGGGTTCTGGTTTTGGTGCAAAAGGCAGGTAGCCAATAAGGTCTGAAAGGGAAAATTACTCCAGGATCTCGAGCTGAGATGAAATCTCCCAACAAATGTGAACTGGCAGAGTTCAGGTTAGGGATCTACCTGTTTGTCACCTGAATGGCCAGTGGGTGGGACGTTTAGACAGAGATTGGGATAATGATCCTATTGGTCCAGGGCTTTGCAATACAACAGTTCCAGTCTATTCCAGTCCCATTCTGCAGAAGGCCCTGCACACCTCGTTCCCCTCCTGCAGGCATCAGAATGTGGGTCTGGTCTGAAGCTTCTCTTGTTGTTCTGAGCCCTCCAAGAAGCACTCGTGCCTGACCAAGATGTCTGACCTTTGTCAGCCCCTTCACTGGGAGATGGCCCCTGCCGCTGTCCTCTTGGCTGAAAGTCCATAACCTCCTTAGAAGAACCTTTGTGTCTAGTCCCACGAAGCCCCTGAACGTGACCCCTGCCTGGGGATGCCTACAGCTGGCCCCCACCGCCAGACATGGACAACAATCCAGACTGGACCAAAGTTTTCCAGAACCTGGGGATACTGGTCACTAGAGGGCTTCCTGTGGGGTCAGCCTGGCTGGTGCCTTTTTCATATCTGATTAACTTCCTTCTCTTGGCCATTCTGCCCCTGGGATCATTAGCATCTCAGAGCTGAGTCTAGGTGAAGAATGGCCCAGAATCCTCTTCCCTCAGCAGGCGTTCCAGGGCCTGGGCTGGGGAAAGCATCTGTGCCCTGGAGCTGTGAGTGGTGATAAAAGCAAGGAAGCTTGTAGAGCCCCAACGGGAGAGTTCAGTGAGCTGGAGAAGGCTGTTTAAACCAGTCTCCAAACAGAGGAGCCAGACACAGATTCTGAGAGCCGCTGTGGAGACAGGATGAGAATAGCTCTTGGCCAAGGCCACCAGATTGGACGACTGTGGTGCATTTAAAGATTAAGAATTAGGCCGTTTCTAGAGGTTTGCTGCTTCGTTCTTGTTACGTGTCTGTGCTCTAAACAGGGCTGTGGATTTTTTCCTTTGTTGGCAAAAAGCATTGTATAGAATGCATATAAATGGGTTGCTTGTTTTTCTGGATCTTGAATTCAATGGATTCCACATACCTCTTGCATTTCATGCCAAAATATTTGGCTGTTCTGATTTAGTTTAGGTTTAACAAAACTAAAAAACACCCCATATATCCAGATCCACTTGGATAGCCTGCAAGTAACATTGGTTTTCGTTTAGCTCTCAGTCTCACCGTGGGGAAATTCTGCTGAGGCATCCCATTTGCTGGTGCAGGTAGAGCGAATCACCGGCTCTGAATCAGCCAGTTCTCTGATGAGGGGCTGAATGCTGTCCTAGAAGCTGGGAGTTCAGCCTCTTTCTCCAGCCCTCCCA